CCTAGGTTAGGACTACGGCCTGTTCCAGGAACCAGCACGTAGCAGAAGGCAGGGGAGGGGTGCTGGTTTATGTCAGAATGAACACCAATTATGATCAGACAGTCTCTGAGGGGGTTTTCAGTAAGCAGGTCCAGCTTGTGGGTAGGACAGCAGTCATGTCATGGAATAGTCTCTCCACACTGATTTCTCTCCTTCAATCAGTGGTTTTCATCTGATGATTTCCTCATGGCTCTTGACTGTCTTAAATTCTTTTTTCACTGACCCAGTGAAAGAACAGTCCTAAATTGCTAGTTAATAGAGAAAGAAAGCCTGCAAGCCTGGGCAGGCCACTGTGCCTGTTCCAAAATTTGGAAGCAGACACATTTTGTTTATCAGATACAGATATTATTCTTTATGCAACTGGAAAATCCAGACTCTCAAGTCCTGTAGTAAGACTGTTTGGGTGATTCAGTGGTCATCAGGAACTCAGGCTCCTCCTGTCATTCTTCCACCATCCTGTACATGACTTCTACCTTCAAATAACCTTGTAGTTGTCAATGAAAAGAAGATTTGAATCTTTGTAGATTTAAGAAATTTTACTTGAGCCCATCTGAGGACATTGCCTGAGAGCAAAGTTCTAAGAAGCCTTGAAACAGTGCTCTAACTTTAGGAAAGTGGGGGGATGTTCATATATGTAAGAGGGCAAAGAAAATACAGCCATGCATCAGTAGTTTTAGTTACATACATTAAGGATTAACAGTTTTATATCAGTTGGAGAGAATATACAGATAAGGTATGGTCATCAAACAGCTGGAGTCGGGAGTTGTGGGAAGGGGTCTGGAAGCAATTATTTTTACACTTATCAGGATGTATAAATAACAGGCACTGCTTTCTATAATCCTTTATCTTTTTAGCTGGAACTGTTGGAAAATATATGTGGCTAACTCCATGGAAAGCTTTGGTTAGGAATTTATTGTGTTCCCTTGGTTACTGATCAAGTTGGAACAGTAGCTTAGATACCTTTTCTTTTCTGATAGTCCAAGATGGCTGCTAAAATTTAAGTCATTACTTCCAGGAGGAAAGAAGAAAGATAAGAGAGCTGTCTCCCAGCTGAATTAATTTCTTGCAGTCAGCCATCCCCAAAGTCCTGTGCAATACTTGTACCTATATCTCACGGATAGAACTTAAATTTGTCAGGGAGAATAAGAAATAATCTGTCATCTGGGTACATAGTCAATCTCCAAAAAAATGGGTTCTTTTATTAATGAAGAAGAAAGAAAAGACTATTTAAGCAGCTCGCAGTATCTGTCATGCTGCATTTATTTAAATTTTAAAAAACTCAAAAAAATAAACTTTTCAGAGATAGATTGCATTATGATAATGTGAAGATGACACCAGAAAGCTAATATAAATCTACATCTTAATGAAAGAAGCACTTTTCATGGACATTATACATTTGCAATACATATTGGAATTAAAACCCAATTATATTTATTTCACTGTGTTAATTTCTACCATACATATACATTTTTGCTCAGAAGTGCATTGCACATATTTCATAGATATTGGAAAAAGGAATTTGTTTAAATGTGTTCTTCTGATAACTAAAGTCATAACACTACTGGAGTGTGGTAGGGATGGAGACAAATTACTCTCATCTGGTCATTCACATATTGCTCTAGAGAAAATTCCACAGCTTCCCACATATGGAGCCTGAAAGCTCGACCTGTCTAGGCAGGTTCATGGGAAGTGGAAAATGATTTGACTTGGGCAGGATGGAACAGCAAAGTCAAATGTTAAAAATGGGGGGCGGGGCAGGGAACCCAACCTGGATTAAATTATAAAATCAAAAGACTCACCAACCCAAGTAATTTTCAAAAGAAATAATTTAGTGCACAAACTGAACTAACAGTGGCCATATCAAGATGCCTGCTCTTTTAGCTCCATCCACTGACCCACTCCCAAACTACCCAAAATAAATAATCACTCTAAACAGGAACAATGTACCTGCTATGGAAACATATCCTTAAGTAGTGTCCTCTAGCCCAAACCTGCACCCACTGGCCCCACTCCTTCCACTCAAGAGTTTTAACTCCACTCAGAAGTTTTAACTCAATTTCTGTCTTATATAGATATTCTGGAGCCACCACTGTGAACTAGCAAAGTTGAATATTTGCAACAGAGACCTTATGGTCTGCAAGCCAAGAATATTTACTATCTGGCCCTTTACAGAAGAGTTTTGCTAAATCCTTCCTTATTGCACAAAGTTGATATGCATTCATTTATTGCTCAAGTACCTAATTAAACAGCTATTATATATCAAATATTATGCTCCTAGTTTCTATTTAAAAAACCTTAAGACAAATGAAAGAGTAGATAACTAATTAAAATGCTCATTGATAAGTGCTACCTTAGGGGCGACAATAGGTTGTGATGTGAGTATATATAGGAGTCACTAACCCTGAATAGAGGGGTACTGTAACCAGGAAAGACTTCCTGATGAAAATAGTAGCTACATTGATATTGAATGATGAGTAGGAGTTAGCCAGGCAAAGAAGGAGAAGGCACAGCAATTACAAAGGGAAATTCAAATATTTCAGAGAGTGAAAAAGGGTCAGCAAAGGTTTAAAGGTACATATGTCTGATCGATAGCAAGGGTAATAGATGAAAGAACTGTCATAAACTAAAATAGCACAAGCTGGGCCACTAGGCCAAGGCCAGAAAATGCAGCCATCTGGTGCGTGGTCAGGCAGGAGGCAGGAAGTGATTGTTGTTAAGGGAAGCTGAAGCATCACAGTAGAGGGGTGGCTGTGGAGGAGGATAATAAGACAGGAGTCAAAGAGTGGGAGGAAAGGTTATTGCAAACCAGTGACTCTGACCTGGACAGAGAGGGATGATCTTGCTAGTGGTGTTCAGACTCTTTAAGGAAGTTTTCATAGACAGGCAGCTGTCCAGGGAACTGCTTTCTAGCTACAAGCTTTGCTTCCACCGCAAATGAAGATGAAATTGTCCTCTTCATTACTCTTTCCAAATCCCTCTGCAAGCCACATCTGAAATTATTTTGGAGATTATAAAGCCTTTTATTCCAGGATTAGAGGTAAAGACTTAAAACGTAAATGTCAATTGAGGTTAAAACATTGCAATTTATTTGGACAAAAGTACAACGAGTCAACAGATATCAGAACCTTTCTAGTTTTAATTTATGGGACTTTAGGGAAGGGAAGGAGTTTCTAATGAAAGAAGTTTACTCAAGGGTCAGTTCTGGTTATTCTCAAATGGAGCTAGACAACAATGAATAAAAGCTAAGAAGATAGTCTTTGCATCTTTGTATCTTTAGGAAACGTGTGTTCTTTTCTTTTAGCTGAGGTTATAAGGAAGGAAAAAGTGTTCTTTGACCCTCCTAGGGTCTCTGGCTGGGTCTGAAAATTAAACCAACAAAGACAGATGAACAGGATAAAGCAATACAAATTTTATTGAATTTCTACAAGTATATTAGAGCCTTCACAAGAGAAGGAAGACCCTAAGAAGTGACTAGAACAGGAAGCTTTTATACCTTTTAGAGAAAGACACAATTTTGTTAAGAATTGAGAAGACAAAGGGATTTGGGCTAGGGTTAGTAAAGGCTGAAGAAATATCTAGGAAAATAAAGGTTAGTTTAACAAGGTTTGTTTATACAGTCTTCTCAGCCCTAGATTCCATCTCGACTTGTGGGAAAGCAGGGTGAGGGTGGGTGCAGAGTGACATTTCTACTTTTGTCATCTTCTTAAATTCCTTCAGCTTAAAATATTTAATATGCCAAGGTGTCAGGCTTTGGGGTAACATGTCCTGAACACCGTCAAGGTATATCTTGTTTTACAAGACGTATATTTAAAATAATAAAAATTATTTGAAAGAATGTAGGTATGTCATTTATTTAGGAGAGGAACTGCCCCCCCTCACTTGTCATTTGCTTTGAGGATTTCTTTAATTTTCAGAACTTTTGCCTGACTCCCCTCTCCCAACAAAAAGATCTACATTGGTGTACCTTATACACTCCTCACTCGATGCATACCTTTTTATTTCTCATTATCTGTTTTTCTAAGGGCATTTGCATTAAACTTGCAAAATATAATGCTCTGAAGAGAAATATTTTGAAATATTAAGAATTATCTACTTCTATTTTTAGCTAAGTGAAAAGTGATACTTTTTTTCCCATTTATAGAAATGAAATTTCAAATTCAAATAGTCATTTTGGGGTTTTTATATAAGATGCTAATATATAAATATTATATAATAATAATATATAATATATTGATTTTCTACTAAATCAATACAAACATGTGCTAATATTCATAAATGTATTTAGGGTTAAATTTATTCTGATATCGATTTCTAGGGTGGGTTGCAGAAGCATGAGGTTGCTATAACAAAAGACACATTAGGGAAATATCCTTCTTTAAAACTATTTTTTGCTCTCAATCGCTAGCCTTCCACATTCCATTGACTTTATTGAAAAGTTGGTTTATTTCAACATTATTTTTACTTGCAATGATTTTTAGCAGCGAGTGCTTAGGTCAATAAACTGCTTCCTTAGGTTTATAACCTGTTGGCATATATTTATAACCACAGGCTGTTTTGTATAACCTTTGCAGAGCACGTGGAAAAGGTGATATAGGAATAAAAGTAGACCTTTTTCTCTATTTTAAAAGACATAAACCCTAAAAACATCACCATGAGGGAACTTCGTGGACGTGAAAATAAAATTTTGTGCTGCCAAGGACGTGAAGAAACTGGAAACTCCAGATGTATTTATGCAATGTCATTACTATCTCATTACTCGTTTTGAGGACTTCCGCTAGGCACCCGCCTGCCTTAGCTCCGCAGGATAACACTGCTCAGGCTCCCTGAGGCTCTAGGGCTCACGGGTGAGCGCAGGCGGCGAACACTCGGGAGAGGCGGCCGCAGACCACAATTCCCAGAGTGCTGTGCGCAGGCCCGACTCGCACGCTCCGCCCCGCCCCTGAGGCCCCGCCCTCCGGCCCGGGCTCCGCGGGGCCGCGCAGCGGGGCGCGCGTGCGTCCAGTGCTCACGCCGGGCTGGTACCTCGCAGCTCCAGGCTGTGGGAACCTGGTAGAGCGACTGCAGCCTTGGCGAGGCCAGAAAGAGCTGCGGGACGAGCCGAGGACCGAGGTAACCGGACGCTTGTCCCGCTTCACTCCCGGCTTCTTTGTGCGCTGTGGTCCGCTCTCGCCGAGCCCTCCCTCACCCCAGCTGCAAACCGTAAAGCCGTCCCGGCGAGCGCCTCAGGCGCAGGGAAACTCCAGCCCCGCGAGCTGTAACCCAAACTCTACAGCCGAGAGGGTTGGGGCCCATTAAAGCGCTGCACGGTTTCTGTCGCCCCCTTTGGAACGGGGTCGCGTTCTCCGAGGGGAACCCCAGCCTCTGGCTCTGTCAGCCTCGCTGGCGGCCCCTCGGCAAGCTCTTGTCGGTCTTTCAGAGAAGAAGGGCAGGCAGGTGCTTCGCGGGCTCCAGGGAATGAGCGGTGCGGCCGGCACGGGTTTGGGGTTCCGGGAGGGCGGCTGGACGCCCCCGGGAACCGAGGCCGTGGGGGCGGGGCGGATAGGCTGACGCTGGGGCCTGCTGCGAGGGGACTTGCAGTCGGCTTGGAGAATTAGCCGCGCGGCCGGGACCTGCTCGCTCAGGGGGCTTGTTGCCTGTCCGGGGCTTGCGGGTACCGCGGGGGTGTGGGGTGTTAGTCTTCCATCTGGGACTTGCCCATCAGCGGGGCCCGCCGCCAGTCATCCTCACTGGTACTGGGAGCTCCTTTCCGCGCCAGGTGTACCTCTCGCGGTGGTGGAGACTGCATGAAAGAGTGCCTCCTAGTGTGACACCAGAAACCGCCGCTGTTCAGCAGACGCAGCCGCTCAGAGGAGTTGTTTTACTGCAGCGATCCCAGCTCTCTCCTCCCTCGAGGTTCTGGGCTGGATTAGCTTGCGGATTTCTTTAGAGAGGGCAATTCGTCTACGTAGTTGGAGTTTTCTAGCCCGGGACTTGGCCTTTACTGGATTTGCTCACTTTAGGCGCCTGGGTTTGAAAAGCTTTTTATATATTTTCCCACTGGTAGTGTTTAATCAGACGAATTTTCGTAGCAAATTGAACTTTTCTCAGTATTCCTTTTAATTTATTTTAATAGCAATTCCATGGCCCTTTCCTATGCTAATGTTACCTCTTTGGGGGAATTCTTTAGGGAAAGGTTCTTGGAAGAACATGAGTTGACACAAGTATTTTACCTGCTGGTCGCACTTTTTCATTTTGTGTGTGTTGCTTTTCTCCCATTTAAGTTGATACTTGTTCGGCTCTTGGTGTTCTTCATTCTCGCTCTATTAGGAAATCCTCTTCCTCCATTTCTCTCGCGTCTTGATCCTGTCAGAGAGGGTAGACTTGGATGAGCAAATGACCTCTGCCTAGCGGTGGCTTTTTTCATTGGCTGCCGCTTTTCCTCTTCCCTCCTACTAGCACCCCTTTTATTTCAGTCAACTCATGCATGACCCACTTCAAACTTTTAGTCATTACATAGATTGCCTTTAAGATGCCAAGCAGTATTAACAAATATAAAAATAAATCTCAGGGTACTGTACCTCAGCTATTGCATTTAGCTTCATATTAACATTTAAAGCTGCTAATTCTTTTAGTATTTGATAAGATTACTATTATTGTTTTTTAAAAGATGACAGTATAGTCTGTAATAATTGCACGTTCTGCATCCAGGCAGAACACTTATTTCATAGCCAGTGAAGATAATTTTTTAAAAACAATATTTCCCATTTAATAAGAAAGTGAGGTAGATAAAATAAATTTTGACACCACCACCCCCTTCTCAAAATAGAGTTTATATTTAGAGCAGTTTTAGGTTCATAGCAAAGTTGAGTGGAAGGTACAGAGATTTCTCATATACCCCTGGCCCCATAGGCACGTCTCCCCAACTATCAAAAATCCCACACTGGAATGATAAATTTGTTACAATTGATGAACCTACACCGATACATTATCGTCATGCAAAGTCTAGAGTTTACATTAGGATTCACTCTTGGTGTACATTCTGAGTTCAGACAAATGACCCTTTTTTTTTTTAAATATCAAGAACTTTGGGTTGTAGAGAATAGAAATGGGTATTGTCATTTTTAAAAAAGTAATATTTTGAACGTCCTAAAAATTAATTTCAAATAGTTTTTCTGTTTTAAATTGGATGTTTAAACTTTTGTTTCCTTTTTGAATTTTCAACTGTCATTTGTATATTAAGAACTAAAGAGACGAGGGAAAAGAATGCTTCAGAGGACAACAAAATGTCATATTTTTCAGTCCTAAAACTCATTAGCTTGATTATTTTTCACTTTTCTGAAAAACATGTTTTATGTTAACCAATGAAGCAAGAGGAAATCAAACATTTTAGTTATATTAATTTTAATTTTTCTTTACTGATGTCAAGATATAGCTACAATAAGAGTGACCCATGAGGCTCTTTTTTTTTTTTTTTAATTCTGTTTTCTCAGAGGCTTTTTTGGGAGCATCGGGACATAATAATGTGCTGAACTCAGTCTGAAACTAGACAGTTCTGGATTAGAATCCCAGCTCTCCACTTGTTGGCTGTGTGACCATGGCAAGTTATTTTCTGGACCTATATCTCCTTAGCTGTAAATGGAGGATAAAAATATTATAATGTGAGAAATAATTTTATAAAGTGTCATGCACTAAATTATTTATTGATATCACTAGTCACATGCTGTTTTTTAAAAATGCTACCACTATAGTTTATTTTCTGGTGAATACTATTTATGTAAATACTATCAATATTTTAGTTATTGTGAGTCAGAGGTAAAACTATGGAAGAGGGTCAAAGGGACCTTAGGGAAAATTCTTCATCTCTCTGGTTCTTAACTTGATCTATGGGTGTGCCCATAAACAGCCTTCCAAGAGTGTGAACTCTGTCTATATCTGTACAGTACTTTTCTGGGGAGAAGACTCACAGCTTTCAACATGTTCAAAAGGGCTTCATGATGGTCCTCCCCTCAAATGATCTAAGAATCGTTAGCTTCATTTATCTAGGTAGGTTTTTTTCCTAAATATTTTGAAGATTATTTTCAAAATTAGTTTTTTGAAAAAGGAAAGTGAACAGGTAGTTTTTGAAGCACTGTACCCGTTTTCTTCCAGAATAGAGACTCATAATTATAATATGTTCATATGAATCAGAGTGCTGCTTCTTACACCTGGAGATGATACTTCTGAATGATCTGTTATTATTAGGCAGATACTATCCACTCCTCCCATCTCTAGCCTTGATGGGCAATAAAATGCATGGTAAAGAATGGCACCCTAATGCAATTCAGTGTATTAGAATATCGTTTTGAAATGCTAAAAGATAATTTGGTTTGTTTAATCTAAAATTTGGACATTTTTTCTTTTCTCAGCATAACACCAAATGCTAAAGAAAATTTAGTATTTTATCTTCCAAACTAGATGATGATATTTATATAGTGTATTTGTTGTATAATATTTCTTCTTAGCACAGGGTAGAAAGTTATATTAAATTTTAATTAATGATCATTTTGATTTTCAGTATTTCTGATTTAGAAAGAATATGGAATTTACAATCAGCTTATGTAGATTCAATTGTAATTTGAATTTATAACATTTTAAGTTAATCTTATTTGCATTTGGGGAATTTCTGAATTAGGTTAGAGTTCATTCTTATAATGAGAGTTTGGAAGTAAGCTGTATCAAACCAGTCCTATTTTCCTTCTTAGTGATAGGTTTCTTTACACTGTGAAGCCAATTTCTGTTTCTGGGTCAGTTACCAGTAGCAGTGACAAGGTCTGAAGAGTATGAGATGGATCAAGTGATATGATACAGATTTATGAATGAATCTGTCTAGCAGAGTAATTAATATCTTTCTTTTTCCTTGAAATCTTTTTTCTTTTTCTGTTTGATATTGGTCAGTTTTTTAAATTTGAAATCTGAATGCTTTTCAAAGTTCAAGGTTCTCAATACTGAGGTATTTATAGAATAAAATAACAGACCTGTATTTGTCTAAGATTACTTTTTTATAAAAATAGTCTGAGAGCTCTATATAGATCTCAGTACCAGCATTTGCTTAGTACTTTATGTATAAAGGGTAAGTCACTGTGCTGCATCTTTAGTTATCTTAATGCAGAGGATTGCTTGTTTAATAATGAAAGTTTAAGTTAAGTTAATTGGATATGAAAAACAAAGAAGAATCATTTTAGCAGAAAAGTTTACCTATGGGAATATTATTACCTTAAGATCAGTGATTTTTTTGTCTATTCTCTTACTCCTGAGCTTTTAAAAATTCAAAAATATTTTTGTATGGGCAGAACATTATTAATATCTATATTTTAGTTCTCATAAAGCATATTAATATCTACTGTACAAAGAAAGATATAGTTATACTTCCCATACAGATATATAGTGACAGCTTTGGCCTAGTGCTGAGTTTTGGCTTTGTAGTCAGCCAGGCCTATGTCGAGTTCTGGGCATTTCCACTTAATAGCTGTGTGACTTTGGGTAGATTTCTTAACTTCTCTGAACCTCATTATCCACAACTGTAAATATAGGAATAATTCCTCTTTGGGTTGTCCTGAGGATTGAAATTAATAAATGTGAAGTATCTAACTCAATGGCAATTACTTATATAGCTTATATGACAATTTATTAACTTATTTAATTCTTATAACAACCCTATGAAGTTGGTACTGTTCTTTTCATTTTTACAGTTGAAGAAACTGAAGTTAATGAAAAGTCATGTAACTTAACCAAGGTCATATAGCTAGTAAGTAGCTAGTACTCAACTAATGCTGACTGTTGTCATTAAAAAAATAAAAATAATAGGAATACTTAGGGTAATATAGCCAGTCCTCATCTTTTGCTGTAGTGAAAAATGCATCAGAATGTAGATTATTATAAAGTGTGTTTTGTTTCTTTGCTGGAAAAAATGTTAATTGGTAGATTGTATTCTTGATCAAGCATTTAGGATTACATAATTTATAAAAGTAATAATGTCCATTTATTGAATGCTTACTGTTTACTAGATATATGGAGGGCTAAGTACTTTACATATGTTAACTCATTTAACCTTTACAACAACCTTACAAGAAAGCCGAGGCTCAATTTTTTAG